CTTCCCAGCCCCCCACACACACCTCCCCAGCCTGTCTCTCACCCATTGACTCCTCAGTCTACATTTTCACTGACTGCCTGTCTTGTATTCATACCAGCCCAGGCTCTGGCTTCTTCACTTTTCATTCCATCCAGGAAGAGCACACGCCAACTGCTGAAACTTCCTCAGCCTGACGAACGGTTTTTGAACCCCAAAGCTTGCTTAATAATTGTTTTCCAACTTTTTAAGTTTGTCTAATAAAAGTTATCAGATTCACCCAAAGAACCTTGTCTGCCAAAGTAGAAGAGAATCCTCCCTTTCCCTTTGTGCTCAGAGGCATATCTCATTCATTCCCCACCTGCCCTGGCTACTGTTCCCACTGTCCCAAGAGCAGGGGAAGCTTCAGAGCTGCTCCTGCCCACTCCAGCTGGGTTGTATTGGGGCTGGGCTCACTTAGGGCTGCAATAGCTGCAGCAGTTTCCTGCATCTGCACTTGTGCTTTCTTCTGAGGGTACAAGGCAGTGTGGGGGAACCTACCCTCTTTCCATGGCTGTTACCACTCTTCCCAGCTAAGCCTAGCTCCTGCGCAGCCTAGTTGGAGCAGGCAGGAGAAGGTCTGAAGCTTTACCCACCCCCAGGGCAGGTTGGAAAGTAGCAGTGCCTGGAGGAGGGGATGAAAGGAGAAGGGAAGGGAGGGGGCATGCCTCTGAGCACAGAGGGGAAGGGTAGGGATGCTTACCTGCTTTGGGAAATTGAAAAGTACCCAGAGACTCCCACAGTATGGTTTGCCCATACTAATGGGTTGCAGGGCAGGAGGCTGGGAGTGGAGGTTCTGCCACCTTTGCAGCACCCCCTTTTGCCCAATCCTGGATCTACCCCTGGCTGCCTCAGCTTCTAGTGAGAAATGGGGCATGGTGAAAATTCATAGGTATTTCCTATGAATAGCACATAATACATTTTATAAATAGTAAAGACTGGGTAATTCTACTTTGTACTACTAAACTCACAATTTCCATGCTTTTTATTGCTGTGCAACAAATGTCTTGCATAATAATTTCATATAATCCTCCTCTAGGGTGATGTGCAGAACATAGTGACTTCCTTTAACAATGGTATTATCAAATGTTCTTTTACTACAAAAAATGCCATGTCAACTGGCTTGAAAGCTGCCAGCACTTCTTACTTCATATTTCTGGCTGTTGGACCATCAGTATCTGGTGAGTGTCACCCTATCGCACAGGATCCAAAAGAAATAATAATTGGGGAGGGGAACATATGCCCTTTTTTATTTTTACCTTTTGACCAAGGCAGAGAAGTTTGAAATATCAGCAAGATAACTAGTGCATTTTTTGGTCTGGAAAGAGATGTTGGTGATACAGTAATAAATTGAAGTTGTACCTGAAGTTTACATTATTGTAGTGGAATAACTTCTCCAAATATTTAACTTTTAACATTATTATATGCTTTCTGGTATCACCTAGAGGCAACAACCAAAGCCAGAGCCTCATGGTACTAGGCTCTGTACAACTACATAACAGGAGATGGCCCTTTTCCCTCAAGATATGACAATTAAGACAAAAGGTGGGAGAGAAAATAGAAGTAAATTTGAACTTAAGTAGGAGAACATGTCTCCCATTTCCATGCCCTAGTCACTAGTGAATCTGTAATTCCAAATATTAAAATGCCCCTTTTGAGACCAGACACAGCTGGAAATAAAAAATCTCAGTGCCTGTTGCTGTTGGAGGGGATAACCTGGCATCAGGACAGGAAAAAAAGGGGGAGGGGTCAAATTATCTTTTGTTTGCCTCATGGCTGCTCTTAAGACAGTCTTGTTAAACATTTTTGTGGGGATTGGGACAGGATCACTCCTGTCTCGAAACTTTGTCAAAAAGAATCGAGATGTCTTGTTGGTGAGCCAGACTTTTACAGCTGAATCAGCAAACAAGGACCCTTAAGTTTTCATAGGCCACTTAAAGAAGTTATTGATCATGCTGTAACTTTAAGTGCTTTGCACAAAGCACTTAAAATTACAGCATCATCAAAAATAAACAGGCATTTGTTGTTTGCTGAGAATTCAAAGCCTTCATGCACTGGCTGGGGTGAGGAGGCTGGGGTCACTGTAACCTGTTGTGGAAGCCTGGCAGCTGGGCAAGTTGGTGTCTCTGGGCTAGTTCCTGTGCCTGCCTGGGGACACAGGGGCAGGGATTCCCCCATGGGGTTGGGGGGTGCTCTCAGGAGGTGGACCCCCCAAGCAGTGCCATTGGGCACTGGGGACCTTCACCATGCGGTTTGGGTTGTCAGCCAAGGCCCCTCCACCCCCGATTGCTGCACTCTCCCCCTTCTTCCCTGGCTGTCCAGGGAGGAAGCTCTCTGCCTTCTCCCTGTGGCAGACCAGGGGCATGACACCTAAGCCTCATAGGGAACTATGTACAAGTTCCCTAAGGCAGAGGTTTTCAATGGGGGGTATGCGTACCCCTGGGGGTAGTTGGGAAGGCCTCGGGGTACTTGGCAGCGGGTGCTGCTGCACCACCGTCACTTCTGCCGACACTTCTGCCACCACCATGCTACCAGCACTTTCACCACCAGTGTGCTCCTGGCACACTCACCGATTGGCCACTGGGGGACCCAGCACCACCAGCACTGCTTGTTGACAAGCTGCTGAGGGACTCCTTCTTTCTCAACCAGCCGCCAGGGGTACGCTGACCCAAAAAGGTTGAAAACCCCTGCCCTAAGGCTCTCTAATTTACAGCACTTTCATTTATTACCTGATTTAACTTGGGTTACGTTTTTGCATAATTGACCATTTTAAAAGCACTCAGCAACTGTGTATGTGTGTTATGACATGGCTATAGAGCACTTGTAGGAGCTAAGTCATGGAAAAAAGTGTCACTTCTGTCTGCCCCCATAGTGCCTTATTAGACCAATTGTATTGATGTTAAAGGGGATATTCTGGTTAAATCCCAACAGATGGGAATACCGTTTTAGAGTCTGATCCTGCAAAGTCCTCAGTGCACTGGACTAGTGTAATTTGCAGGGGATCAACACTTTTTGAAACTTACCATTTGTTTGGAAGCATAAATGTGGATGTATGAGCCCAGCTTCAGGTTTGCAAGTTTGCAAATGTTGTGTGTGCAAAGAATGGATTAAATATTTAACCATGCTCACAGCATGGACTACCTATTCTTCGTGTTCCCAAGATAGGGATATCAAGTTTCTGGGGTAAACCTATAGATATTAAACAGATTTGGGGATCTCCTAAAATTCCATGGACAAATAGAATTTGAATATCTTTTGATTCCTTGTAGGACAGATACGGAAGCATTCAAAGATACCTTTTATCACAGATGAGAAAGTGAATATTTCAAGCTATATGGCAGTAGGTGGCACCAGTTCTACACCTTCCATTATTAAGGCTCATGGTAAGAGTTTTCTTTAAGTATTTACCTTCTTTTATAACGGGGAAATATATGTTCTTGTTTAGACGAACTGGCATATACTTTCCTGTGGTAGAAGGGAGTACCCAGTCCTGAAGATCTGTTTGAAACTAATACAGGACTGAATTTTGCCTATCCTGGGTGGATATTTGACATTTAAGAGGAAAAATAAGAAATTTTTGGTGGTAATTTGATATCTTAAAATGACGGGCGTTCCCATGCATTTATTTGTTATGCCAGTATTCCAGACATATCTTTCAGTTCATAATTGTTTTCAACAGAATCCCAATTGTTTACAATTTGTCTCTCAAAAAAAATGTAACAGCTTTCCAAGTAAATGATACATTTCCTAGGAAGGGCACAGTACTGGGCATTAATCTGTAATTTTAAATTTGAACTCGGCCTTTTTTTATTATTATCATACATCAAGCCTTAATAGTTTTACAGATTTTGTTACCAACTTTTTCTTCTACTTGTGGAGTAACAAAGATAGAAACATGTCAATCAGAGACTCATTCTGTAATGTTATCCCGTAGAAATCATCGCTACGTGTCTCTACTTTGGGAATGAAAATTCAAGGTGACAAAAAACAAGATTCTGGATTCCCTAGCAGCAATCAAAAACAGCTGCCTATCTGTTATCTACCTTAAAAAAGAAAGAAAAATGCTATCGCAGTACCTTTATTAATTATGACACTAAACGAAGAATCCCATAGGACTCAAATCTGGGAGGGACTGATTTGTCTGACATCTGTCCACCAGAGTACCTACATAGGTATTTAACTTTAAGCTCATGAGTGTAATTATTCATGTGCTCAATGTTTAAGTGCCTATATCAGTTTGTTGCTGAGTGTGTGCTCTGACACTCAGCGATTTGCAGGATCCAGCTTAAAGAGCAATATTACTGTAGTATCACCAATCTGGGTTTTATCATTACTTAGTACTGCCCAAAGTACTTGAATTTTTTTCAATTGAGGTTGGTTTAGAGTTAACTTGGTCAGCTTTTTTTTCTTTGTAAGGGGCTCTCATGTTGATAGCCTGGATGACTACAGGAGGTATGGGAATGCTATTTGCTAGGAATGTGAAAAAAGCCTCTCGCAGTCTTCTCCTTGGCAAAGCTGTCTGGTTTCAGGTATGTAAATAAATGTAACAAAAAGTAGTAACAGCTATAACAGTACAATAATGAGAAAATTGAATGATAAAGTGGGCAAACAATTATAAGAAGAACCCAGATAAGGTTTTTGCTGGGGAAGGATAAACTCTTTTAAACACCATTGTTGCATGCAAAAACACAAGTCAGATCACTTATTAGAAAATGTGACCTGATCTTTCACATTCAGCAGATTTCTATGACTAAAGAAATTGCTAAAAAATATCTGGGACAGTGGCACCTGAAACAGCAGAATCATTTACTATACCAAAAAGATACTTGGGTATGTGTCACTTGACATACCCAAATGGTAGTTATATGGCACACAGCTGCCATTTTTGTTATTTGCACATGGTTAGCTATCTTATTTCGCATTCAGTGCAGATACTCAACTGTCCACACCGCCAGTCAGCATACTCAGTAGGTATTGGCTCCATATGCACATACCTAGGCAAGTATATATCCCAAAATTGTAGCTGTAGGACAGAAAAAAACATGACTAGCAGCTCCTAAACCCTAGGGAAGAAAGGCAGCCTTCTCATATTTTGGTGAAAAATCTAGTGGTCCTGGTACTCATCCAGAAAGCAAGGGACTTTTTTTAAGCTCTCTTCACCCAGAGGGAGTTTGAACCAGTATTGTTGCTGCTTCCTAGCACTGTGTTCCAACCACCAGGCCACAGGTAGGACACTATATATTTCCCAGCTTGAAGCTGGCCTCCTACATAGCCAAATGAAGGAGTGGGTCGTATGAAAGGGAAGAAGCTAGTGGGTCTGAGATGGCTGCAACTCCAGAAGGGAGGGAGCCCTGGTTCTATGGTGGACTCTTGCTCCCAGTGCAGCAAAACTTCCCCACTGCTCTTTACTGATTTTATCAAATGACTCTTAAATGCAAAGGGCAGCAGCTCAGTTATAAGCATTACCTAATCATCCTTCATGGTCCCTGATATACTGAGCCACACTGTTAGTGTTACATAGTCCTACCAGCAGATGGAGGCAGGGCATAAATAAAATGAATGAGGAGGCCTGTGTCAACTAAACATTTCTTTCCTTCCTGTTTCCAAGCAGCTAGGAATCACTTTCTTGCCAGCTGACTTGCTGTGAGCCCTTGGTGCCTAAAGTTGAATAACTTAAGACAAATCCTCAGCTGGTATAAAATGTCATAGCTTCACTGCTGATCTGCCTCTTTCTCATTGACATTATTTTTCAAAATTAATTTTTTGAAACCCTGTTGATTTGGGTATGTTAGCCTTAGTTTTTAATATAACATACTCTATGTTGTAGTGTTATTTGCAGTTTTCCATTTGCGTTTATTGCAAGTTTGTGTGCAGAATAACCTGACATATTGTGCATCTGTTAATCCTTCTTTAGAATAAAAAAGAAAAACCTCTCTGATGTTTTGCTGAAGAGGTTAACTTGGTTAGTAAACACTATCTAAAAACTGCCTGCCATTAAACATATAAATATTAAAACTACCAAAGAAACTTTAAATGTGTGATATGATGCTACATGAATAAAAGGAATAGTAAGAGGCAAATGAATGATAATATACTTTACCTGCTTTGGGGTAACCCCAGCACACTTGTTTTTAACAGCCCATATTAAAATCAACAGGTTTCCATTTTTTTTCCCAAAGTGTGAATTTCTTTAGTAATGTAAACAAATGTACTTTAACTCTTGCTGTTGCAAATGAAAATGTTAATGCATACAAAGTGTGAGTTTAATACCTAGTATTTTATCTTTTTGCTTAGGTTCATTGGTGTCTGATGGTGTTAACTGTAACAGAAACAATAACTGCTTTCATACTAGCCTTTGTAGCAGCAATGGGATGGAGTAGTGTAAGTTAGTCCCTTTTTCCCTACAAATTCTCCTGGTGAGTGCATGGAGTAGCTTCATTAACTTCAGTGGAGTTATTTATTTACTTTGGTATAACTGAAATATATTGTATATCCAAACAGTGAAGAATTGTCTTTTAAAACAACAATTGAGAAAGTGAATCAGGAAAATCAATGTTCTATGCTGTTGTCTCCCCCAGGGTGCAGGAGCCCATGCCATCATTGGATGCATTGTCATGATTCTTTCTTTCTTTCAACCAGTGATAGCTTTTTTACGGCCTTCTCTTCAAAATAAAAGGTCAGTAAATTGACAAAAAAGACTCTCTTAAATCTGGGGCATGCTATAACAAGACTTATGAGGTTATATATTGTGTATCTTGCAGGCCGAAGCACATATCATGTATAGGTTTTTTTAAAGGCAAATCTAAGTTAGGTGATACTGGTTGGAATAAATGAGTGAATCCAAGAAATAGTTTCTGGAATATGCACAGCCCTCTTTTTGTGACAAAATAGAAATAATAGTAGTTAGCATGGACTTCCTGCCAGTCTTACAGATGATCTATGAAAAAAATCAGCTTTGTTTCTCTTGTTGCTGCTTAATCAAGGAGTTAAAGACATTTAAGGGTTTGGAGGCTTTCTGCTTCTCTGTTTTGTCTATGCTGGAATGTAAAGCTTTTTTTTTTAACATTTCATTGATGTGTGCTTGCTAAGCAACTGTAAGGGAAAGGAACTGTCTATAGAACCTCAGTAATTAAACTATTCCTGAGAAAATGTACTTATCAAAAAGATACAACAACCCAATTGTTTCCATAAGCCTCTTGGAAGTCTTCCATCAAAATTTGGGAAGATTGGACATGATTTAACAGATTATTAAAAAACGAATATTCTTAAAAGATAAATGGGGGTGGGGGAGTAAAGGAAACAAGATCAGTTAAAAAAAAAAAAATGTCCTCTGCTTCCCTTTTGCTCTTTGAACATGAACATAAGTGTCACCATCCTTCTGTGGTAGTGAGAGGTAACTTGCTTCCTCCTGTATCCTCAGCCAGCTTCTTTGTCCAGTAAGCATAGGAGGCTGCTGCTGTGGTTCATCTCCCATTCCCTCTCCTGCTCAACCCCATTCATTTTCACTTTGCTTGCCTATATCACATGAACCTCCCTGTCCCTTCAGTGCTGTGAGGCTGACTCTTGTCCTCCCTCATGGCCAATGAGGGCTATTTTTTCATAACCCTGATAGCTCAGACTACTGTCCTGGCAGTCTCTGACTGGTGTAAGTGAAGTAAGTTGACAGGCTGGTGCATGTGCCTATGGCCTACCTCTGAGTAAATACAGTCTATGCAAAATTAAGTTAATGCATGACGGATGATTGTTTCTAGAAGTCATGGCAGTCATTTATATAAGATTTTGAAGCAGTGCTCAGAAGTGATAGCTGAAGGAGTCCTCAGTGGATCCTGCCTTCCCTTTGATAAAATGTGACACATTTTTCCTTAGGTCTAAGAATCCTGTAGCAACAAACTTCTAATTCATAAAAGGTTTCAGACATCTGAATATGTTGATTACCTCCTTATCATCCTTTCAAGCACAAGTTGGAATGCTGGCTCCAGTTCTTCATATCTTAGATTTACCTTTATGATAATTTTTCATCTCTATTCATTGAGTTGGGTCTTCTTCTTTAGTTTGCTCTTACTACAACATGTTTGTGTGACGGGCTGGCTGGCAGTGACCTGGCCCAGGGGTTTTGAAAGGGCAAGAGATGATTGGAAGACTTGGGATTCCCTTTCCTCACCAATCTGGTAATGATTTGGCCCAGGGGCTTTGAAGGGGTAAAAGATGATTGGAGGACTTTGGGATTCCCTTTCTGCACCAGTCAGGCCCCAGAGACTCACCCCCCCCCCATGTCCTGATTGGCCTTTGGGTCACCTGGAGGGGGATAAAAGGGGCAGCGTGGGCTGACTCAGGGGAGAGACTAGTGAGGGACAAGGAAGGAGCTTCACAGAGCTGGTAAGAGCTGAGCCAGTGGGGCAGGAGTAGTGCCCCAGAAGAGCCTGAAAGAGCAGGACCTGCAGGCAGCACTGGGACCCTCAGCAGTGTGGCGTGTGGCCGGCCGGAGAGGCTCCCCACTGGGCTCCAGGATCCCCTACGAGCGGCTGCACCCAGCAGGAGAGGCTCCGCCTGCTCCAGGAAGGATCTGAGCAGCGACCTGAGGGGTTCCCAGCTCTGCTTCCAGCTCCTCCAGTCAGAGGCCAGGCAGCTCAAGGTGAGGCCGGGGCTCTGGGAAGGTCAAGACCCCTAGCAGGCAGTGTTCCTGCCTACCATGTGGGAGATCTGGGTTCAAGTCCCAGCTGAGGTGACTTGTGGTGCGTAAGATAACAAGAAGCAAACAAATCTTGCAGTGGAAAGAGGCCATTGTGTTTTCCTCCCTTTCTCCCCCTCCAAGTACCAAAGCCCTATGTTTCCTTGTCATTTGACATTTTGCATTTTGTGCCCTTTGTATATTTCACCAACCCATATTGTTTGTTCTGCTCTTTGAGTTTTATATTTTGTTAACCCTGTTTTGTCAGTGATTGTAAGCGTCTAACCTTTGTTGAATCCTGCCCCCTTGGGGCGTTGTAGTGTCCACTATACCCTCTGATTTATGCCTTTTATGTTCCCAGTATTAAAAGGTATATGGTTATGTCCCCATTAGTGATCTGGCTCTGCTCTATAGGGGGAGGAGGGTCCCTACACTTCCCACAGCGCTTGTGCACCTGCTTTGATCCCTTCAATTGGAGAGCTGGGTACCTCTTGGAATACTGCCCGGGTTACATTTCTACTAAAGCTGTACAGATAACTGACTTTCTGATTTATCTGCTGAACTAAACATTTAATACATCAGTTCAGATTAACCACTTTTCCCATCAAAATATAAAACTGGAAAAAATGTTTAGTATGATACAAACTGAAACAGTTATTTTCGTTTCTGGTACCTATAGGAAAAGCCAACAAAATGAATGGTTAGAATCACAGAGCTGCAGTAGTGTTGGTAGTAGCAGAGCCAGTGCTTGACCTGTAAATACTCTAAAGCCTGTTGAGACCAAGAGCAGGAGAATAAGAATGTCTATGACTAGCATAATTGTTGGGATACCTTAGTAGGGAGGTGGGATATTTCTGTTCAGTTCCTACTTCAGTGAATGCTTGTTAGTACAAAACAAAACAACCTTATCAGTAAAGAGTGAAAGTGCCCCACCCAGAAAGAGCCTAGAGCTTTGTGGTTGGTGCCTTCTCCTGGGAAGGCATGTGATGTCGGTAGGGTTCTTGAGTGACAGGGTGAGAGAGAGGTTTGTTTACTGTAAGGAAGGAAAATATATCTTGCAAAAGTGACATCTTCTGTACAATGCAACAGCCATTCAGTAACTAACTGCAAACACACTTTTTTGAGGTGCATGAAAATTCCTCCTAGAGGTATAGACAGACATAATACCGTATTTACTTAAATATTAGGACATGTCTTTTTCCCTCCTCAGCACAGGGGGAAAGCTCCTGATGTTACATTCACATACAAGGAAGCCTCATTAAATACATTGTCTACCATTAAACTGCTGCCAAAAGCAATGTGTTTTCAGTTATGGAAACCAACTATGAAGTTGATTAAATGCAGACAACGCTGAGCATAACTATGAAGTACATGGCCCATATTGAGCAAACATACTGATGGGAACCTTTTTTGTTTTGGCCTTTTAAAAAAAAAAAAAGGGTGTTCCCTCTACAGGGAACTGGCACTGGCCCTGGGGGTATTGCAATACTAGGCCAGCACTGGGGGGCACACCTCCCCTTGGTGCCAAAAATGCTTGATCTTAGCCAAAATAGGTTAGTGTAGTCCATCTGAATATGATATATAGTAGTTCCTATTGTATGCAGCCCCCCCTCAGCGCCTACTCTTTTACAAGTCATAGTGAGCTACTATATTGAATGCATTTCATCTTCCTCTTCACTTCCATAGCCAAGCTGCACCTTTCTTTCCCATTTCCAATGATTCCTGTTTTTTCACCAGTCTTAAATGTCTGGTAAACATCACCAAATTGTGTCCCAAACAGTTTCCAGAATCCCTCTGTCACCCCCTCTCTCAGCCTCTCACATATGATTGGTGTGGCTTTGCTCTCCATGAGATGAAGCTGGGCAAGTTGTTCTGTGCCTCATCTGTGTATACATTTGTGGAGGATCCGAGGACTCATGACAAGAACACCCAGTTCCAGTCATGAATAGGGGTTTAATTAGCACGTGCATCTTTTGTCTGAAGTATATACACAGACTGAGCAGTGCTGAGCTGTGGAGTCACCATGGCTTGAAATTCTGTTGACTCTGCTGGAGCCCAGTCCATTGAACTATATGGTAAATCCTGAATCTGTTGGCTTTGGATTAATTTCATGCATATTTTGTATTATATATAAGTAGGTACAAAAGTGCTACTTAAAAATGTGTTTGTGGTGTACCTGTGCTAAAACTTACAGCAGTTTTAGAAAAGGTGAACTGTATCAGTTCTGCATGAACTAAGTAATATGCAAATTACAGGTATGTTTATTTCAAGGTCAGTGTTTTCAAATTTGTCCCACTTCTACATGCTCAGGGAGAGCAAGGTGCTTCAGGGGAAAGAATTTGGAGCGGGGGGGGCAGAGGGGAAGGGGCTTCAGGGGGAAGAAGCTGGGAGACAGAGAGCAAGGGGTCTACCCAACCCCCCAGATTTATTTTCCCTTCTGGAAAAGTGAGAGGGAGATAAATTCAAGGCAAAACTCCAATAGTTAGATTCTGTACTTGGAAGATTATAACAAATGTATACATTTTCCAAATATATAATCTACTTATTGGGGGATCAGCTTATATTCAAGAATATATAGTAATTGCACCATTTTAAAGGATGCCAATTCAAGGTGGTGTGGGGTAGTTATCATGTCTGTGTGATTCTGGGACTGATGTATAGGTATTAGGGCTGCGCAAAGCTTTGGTAGCCAATTCGATTCCGAGGAGATTTGGTCCAATTTGGCGGCCAAATCTCCAAATCCAGATTGAATTGGGAGACCCATTAATCTCTCTGAATCGAATCGGAAGCCTCTGAATTGATTCAGAGAAATTCGGAGATTCAGCCCTAGACTGCACAGGCAGGCAATAGGCAGTGCCAGCAGGAGCGGCTGGGGGAGCAGCCAGACGAGCCCTGGCTTCAGCCAGTAGCCCTGGGAGAAGCTGCAGCTCCTCCAGCTGCTCATCCAGAAATATGACAGAAATAAGTTTTGGTGCCAAATATTTTTGGATTTGGCTGAATCGAATTGGGACAGTCACGAATGCCGCGTGCCCCCGGAGGCTGTGGGGCACAGCGAGCTCTCACAGGCAGCAGCAGTGCTGTCAGTAGTGGGAGCGTGGTGGCGGCAAGTAGTGAGCTTCCTCAGGCAGCTGTGGCGCTGTCAGTGGCGGGAGGGTGGGGTGGTGAGTGCCCACCAGTGGTCAGCGACCACCCACAGATGCCACCGATAGCGTAGGTGGTGGCCAGTGGCAATTGGGGACCACCGGCAGATGCCACCAGCAGTGTCAGAGGGGGGGTGGTGAGTGGTGACCACCCACAGGCACCGCTGGCAGTGTCAGCTGTGCCTTTTTGCAGGGGGTGCACCGCCAAGCTCGGGGGGTGCATGTGCACCCATGTGCCCTCCGTACGCGTCGCCAATGGGGGCAGTGTTTCACATCACCAAATCAAATCACTGTCCCTCCGAATCCAAAGTGAATACTTTCTGCTTCACACAGGCCTAATAAGTATGCTGCAGGTATAGCAAAGCTGCTCCAACTACCTCTGCTTCATTTGGGATCAAAGTCATAGGTTCACGTATTTTAACAGTGAGATTGTGGCAGCCAATATATGCACCCAGATGGCAGCTCATCTACCTCTTTTAAAGCATCTAAAATCTGTATTTGTCCATTCCCTAGATGACATCTGTCTTTGCTGGCTTTCACTTGAAAAATTATCTACTGTAACCTATTAACCCTATAAACCAACACTAGTATTACTCTGATGTGTTTACTGTCTCTTAGGAGCTTTGGAAAATATTTTTGGTGTTTCAGGTATTGCACATTTTGAATGTTCATTTTTAAAGTAAAATTCCAGTGCATCATACAACTGTCATGTAAAAGAAAGACTATATTTAATGCACCATTTCTGTTGTACTACAGGAGATTTATTTTTAACTGGTTTCATGCTCTAAATGCTCTCATCATAAAGGTTCTGGCTGGTAAGTTGATGTTTTAATATTTTAAATGTGCTTATAACACTATGGTCTCTCCTTTGGTGCTTCCATAATAGTAACTAAAATGAATTTTAACGTTATTGAATTGAAGTTATCCTTTTTAATAGTATTCATCCTACTGATTAAATTGTCAGATGAGACAGGAAGCAGAATTAGGGTTTTACCTAAACTAATTATTTTGCAAAAAGTGTATGTGCTTTCTACAGAAAATTCTGACTTCATTTAAAAAAAACTTGAATACCCAACAGCTGGAATATCTGGTGTGTATACTGAAGTTAACACAGTTTCTGCTGTGTGTATCAGTTTATTGGTCTCATACCCCAACTTCCTTTTATTAGTCATGTTTCCCACTTGATTAGAACCGCTTGTGAATCAAGCAGCCCGGACATTCCAATAATGCACCAAGAGGAGAGGTCCTAGTGCTGCATTATGAAAATCGTAGTCTGATCTTGATATATAGAGCAGACGGGGGACTTGAGGAACCTAAATACAACTCTGGTGCCTCAGCATCCTGGATGCATTTCCAAACTGAACAATTTCCCTTGCTTCTTGCCTTGAATAGCTTACCAAAAACTTGGATATTTTTTATATAAAATAATAGTGGAAACATTTTGTTTTTCTTTACACAACAATTTTCCCAGAGCATCATTTTTCATACAGTTTCAGTTGGAATTCTTGGGTTCTTTCCCAGCTTTCCAACCAGTCTGGTGTGCTACTTTGAGCAGGTATTTTAGGGCACAGACAGAAGTGCAGCTGCTGGGTCTGACTCATGTTGATTCATAGAAATAGCCACGAGTTAGACCAATCCAACAGAAATTAGTTGCTGGATCAGGAGAGTGAAGAATCGGCTCCAATTTGGAGGCAATCCAGGGAGAAAAGCTTCATCTTCCTCTGACTCCACACCCCCCTCGCCCCCCAGCTCCATTACTATCTCTGGATGGTGGGAGAAGGAAGGAGGGAAGTTGTTCTGGGGTTTTCTCGGCCCTGCTGGATTGGGGGGAGGGGGGTAGATTGGAGCCCCCCCGCCAAGGTGAGGCACCTCCAATCTATTCCCCCCAAACTCCAGCAGAGCTGAGAGAACCCCAGAAAGGACTTCTCTCCCTCTGGTATAGAGACAGCAGCTGTAGCTCACTGTGCTACAGCTGGAGCTGACGAATTAAGTCATTCCACTTGGGAACAGCTTCATTTGAACCCTCATACAATGAAGGTTAATTTGGGTTAATTTGAACCCTCATACAATGAGAGTTAATTTGCGCTCTGTAGACCTGCTTTTCTTTTTGGGCACAGCTTTAGAGTGATTTCAAGGGGGCCAATGATGCAACAAATGTCACTTCTGTCTGCACCCTTAATTTCTCCATCCTTTAGGTTTTTTTCATGTGCAAAATGCTTAAAAGTAATGCTTGCTCTGTACTACTACCCAGGGACATCAGTGGAAAGACAATGAATGCTATAGCAAGCCCTTATTTTCATAAGTGTTTAAATATAATTAGTAAGTACAAAATACTATAGTTTTAATAATAATCAATAATCAGTGCACATTCTCTTGGCATGTAATATTCTTAGAATTCTCTATTTTATTTGCCTTTCAACTATTCTGTTATATACAGGTGATAATGTACTGATTAAACAAGCTTTTAAATGCATGCAAGAAAAGAAAAGTAAATGGTATATTAACAACTTAAACTTTTTTTGGAATCAGATTAGTGCTTTACTAAATATTGTATTGTATTAAATCATAGCCATATAACTGGGCCATTGTGATGTTTTTTAAATATGGGCCGAATAGAGATATAGCCATGATGATCCAAGAAATAGGTGAGAAGCAAGATTTGTTTATTAATAGCTTTTGCGATACCAGGAATTCTCAACCAGGGTGTTGTGGTACTATGCAGCATTAGCCTGGTTACTATGAAAATACCTACATATGGTTCACAAGATACCCATATGGCACGTCCCCACAAGCATGTACATGCAGTTTGTGGCATCTCAAAGCCATCTGAGGCACTGCAAACCGCTTGTGGCGCATATGCACTCATATACTGTCCTGCTAATTTGCCATGCAGCAGCTTTTTTGACATTGGGAGATCTCAGTGTCAAAAAAAACCACCACTAAAAATAGCAGTACAGTGCACATGGCTACAGCGTGCTCTGCCAGAAACTTGCTTGGTTTATTCCACAGAAAGAATATCATGTCTGGTAAATTTTGCAACCCCTTCACCTCTATACATATAGCCATTGTACTTTAGCTTGCCTGTCACCAACCTCACAGACCTATGTCTAACCTTGCTCATCTCTAACTGCTAACAATCCCCTGTGCTCCATTCCTGACACAACTGAAAAAGTGCTGCCCTGAAATGAGACAAAGTAGATCTCCCAAAGTACACATCAAGTTCTTTAGGACAAGGTAGGCAAAGAAATTTACTCCTTCCACCCCCTCCTTCCAAATTGTTTCATATTACCCACCCAGACCATTTCATAGATCCCTCAGAGCTCTGTTTCGCTAACCCGACTAATTCCTCTACAGTTCAGTGCAAGTGCACTTAGTACAGTGAATGCAGCTTGAAGTGCTTGCAGATAATTCAGATTGGTTGTTGTCAGTTCCTGAGAAAAAGGAGGCAGAGAGCTATGGTTGTATGAGTATATGTTTTAACTCTTCATTTCTTGCATTACAGAAATCTGGGGTTTTGTTTTGTTTTTTGTTTTGATTTGTTTTTTGCTGATCTTGACTTTCTGGAAAGGCATCTGGATACTTTAAGTATTCATTAACAAAGGGATTTCTTTGGTCATTGAATTCTTTGTAGGTTGCTCAAAGAGGAAGCTCTGTAACACCCATTCACCAATAGGTTGCATCACCACTGTTTCTCAATGGGATTTGCAAATCTAGTAATAACACTTAAAAACAAAATTTAAAATATCCACTAAAATGTTGGAGAGAATCCTAAATGTTCAATAATGGTCTTATGCCTAGTGTGTGCTTTGCCTTGTTTTATTTTTCTCTCCTTTAGTTGCTGCCATATTTTTGGGCCTACAGATGCTTGACAACTCTCCCAATCAGTGGATGATTGGAACTATGGGAGGATTTGTAGGATGGGAGGCATTAATATACATTATGTTTGAAGCCTTGCACAAACAAGGTAAAGGTTCAGTTTTCACATTGTGAAATTTTTGTTTCAATGAAGGAAAATAGGTAAAAACTGAAACTGATAATTTTCATGTTTATATTTTTCAGTTAAGTTTGAAGATTCACGTGGTGAGGTAATACTGATACCACACTTTACATAGTAATAAGATGCAAGTGATTTATTTTTCATGTCTTGAAATGTGTTTGGCATTATTTTGCGCTGCGTTCTTATGATCACATGAATTAAATAGGATTCTGCTGAGAGCTCTTGAGAAAAATGCAGATGGTGCACAAAGAGATTCACAAATTAAGACCAGAATGCACTAATTATGATCGCTTATTGCTGCATACCCAAATGATCTGGGAGAATTCTCCCAGGTTTGTTTTCCTGATAAAAAAAACTTACCTGGAGATACCTAAACAGACATTGGGATACTGAGCCCTTGAAGAGTGGAGAGCTTGCAGTGCTGATGTTGTAGAGCCAGGGGGTCCTTGTGCATATATCTTAGTGTGCTCTATAGGCTCCCTTTGCCTGCCTAGAGACATGTGCAAGCAGTGGACAGAGCAGCTCTCATTGGCTGACCCACAATGCTCAGGATCTGCCTGTGTCTCCCTGGAGCAGTAGAATCCAGCCTGAGGGGAGATGGGGACAGGAGCAACTGGGATGCTAGAGGACTGTACTCTGGCTTCTCTCAGAAAAGATTGTGTCCAGACATTCACTCTCCCAGAAGAAATTCTTGAACATCTGGACACTTGCAGTTTCTCGTGGGAGAGCAGCAACTGAATGCCTACACGCAGCCTTATTAGTCTGACCTCCTATAGAATTTAACTCTATAATAACTCTCATATTGCATCCATAGGTGCTTCTTAAGCATACGCTTTGAAAGACCTCTGGTCTTGATGTAAATGCTTCTGAAATCCACAACACTCCCTAATGTAAAATGTTCCAATTGCACTTTATTTCCGGTCTGAATGTGATTAATTTCACCTGCCAACCACTGTATCTTAGTGTACCTTGTTTGCTAAACTGAAGAGCTCCCTGCAGTAAGAGATTTTTCTCCTCACATATTACAGGGGTGTAGGTTGTAGCCGTGTTGGTCTAAGGGCATAGGCAGACAAGGTTCTTTGTGTGAATCTGATATCTTTTATTAGACCAACTTAAATAGTTGGAAAACAATTATTAAGCAAGCTTTCGGGTTCAAAAACCCTTCGTCAGGCTAAGGAAGTTTCAGCAGTTGGTGACTGCACACAGCAACTGCTGAAACTTCCTTAGCCTGACGAAGGGTTTTTGAACCCAAAAGCTTGCTTAATAATTGTTTTCCAACTATTTAAGTTGGTCTAATAAAAGAAATTAGATTCACACAAAGAACCTTGTCTGCCTATTTTCCTTACATAGGCATTCATAGACTGATTAGATTATCTCCTTGGGCCGAGTTTTCAAGATGTGGCATTTTTCTTGAATAATTGACAGTATTAAGTGTAGGGGACCCACTGTTTTACTGGAGGTGCTTTCTTTCAGGTGAGGCAAATTGATATGATCACAATATCCTCTGAAACTTTTACACAGATATGAAGACCAGAAACTTAGTAGCCTAATCAAATACTATTTTAGAAAATTACATTCTTATTACTTAGAATTGACAGGTATTTTCAACAAATATGCAGCTTCCACTAATTGTTCTTTCCTCAGCCATTTTCACAATGACTCTTTCCTAAGCTTCCTCTTGCACTGTCAAGTCTGTAGCATACTTATACCTGTTTTACTTGATCAAGTGATAAAATGGTGTTGTGGCTTCCAAGTGTCTTTGAATGCAACTAGGCTGTTTCTGAAACCAATGTTAAAATTAATTGTAATGGTTGAATAACCTTTTTTTTTTCTTTTCTAGATAAAAAGTGAAATTATTATATTTTTAACATTTGTGTGTGGAAACCTGGCATTCTTAGTAGCATTGCTTGTGGGAATTGCAGAATCCTAAAATTGACTGGATTTGTCTTGAAGCAATAATGATTACTTTTATCTTAAGACTACTACATAGTGAATACAAGTTTTTTCCAGCTTTAAATTTTTTAATGTAGAAACATTTTTATGTTTTGTAATTAATATATTAATCACTTTTTTGCAAACTGAGATAACATTTTGTCTATTAATGATTATTTGTGTGTGACATCTCCATCTAGTACTATGTAAATAGTAATGTGATATATAATAAGAAAGCAATATCTAAAAGTTGAAATTTGATATTTATTTTATCTGATGCTTCCATTTAATCCTTTGGATGTTCCTGTCTTTTAACAAGATAAGTTTCATTTGTATAAAAACAAAAGCAAGGATGTAGACATTTTTGTCATGTGACTAATTTAGGCCACCACTCTTCATTAAGAACCACATGGACAAATCTTTCTGTATCTTCCTGGAGTTCCACGTACTTCTGCTATAGTGATTTCACCGAGGCTCTATTTAGACTTTGTGTCTCTACCAGCATGATTCAATGTAAGATCAGAGCCTACTTCATATATTGAGATCAATCTAAGCTACAACTACAAAATACCAACTTGATTGCATTTTTATCCTCACGAAGTAGGCGAAAGGATGAGAAAATGCAGATGAGAGGACCAAAGACAAGTTACCTGTGCACCATCCCAAATCTGAACTTCAGTGCAACTGATCCCAAATTATAGAATACATGAACATTTTCATCAACATCTCTGACCAGAGATACAGAATTATGTTAATTTTTCTTTTTCTTTTCTGCTCTTCCACATTTTTGTCTTCCTCTCTCCTTTTCTCCCTTTTTCCATCTTTTTTCATCTTCACTTTGTTTAGGTTCTAGTATAAATAAGCCAGCAGTGCATCCTTGTTGCCAAGAAGACTAATGGCATACTGGGCTGCACTGGTAGGTGTGTTGCCAGTAGGTCAAGGGAAGTGATTATTCCCTTCTATGGAGCACTGGTGACACCATATCTGGAGTACTGTGTTCAGTTTTGGGCACCCCACTACAGAAAGGATGTGAACAAATTGGGGAGAGTCTAGCAGAGGGCAGCAAAAATGGTGAGGGGGCTAGAGCACATGACTTTTGAGGAGAGGCTGAGGGAACTGGGCTTATTTAGTCTAGAGGAGAGGAGACTGAAAGAGGACTTAATAGTAGTCTTCAACTAACTGAAGAGGGATTTGAAAGAGGATGGAGCTAGCCCAGGGGTTGTCAACTGGGGATACGTGTAGCCCCCCTTGGAGAGGCTGCAGGGGGGGCGCACTGGTGGGTGGTGAGCTTACACGCAGTAGCAGCCACCATCCACCACGCTGCGCCACCGCTACATGCTGCTTCCACCCTGGCCTGCTCCATGCCTGCCCGCTGCCACCCCCTCAGCTCCACATCCAGCTCCAAACACCCCCCATGTCCAGCCAAAGGCATACACTCCTTAAAAAAGGTTGAAAACCCCTGAGCTAGACTATTCTCAGTAGTGGCAGAGGACCAAACAAGGAGCAGTGGTCTCCAGTTGCAGCAAGGGAAGTTTAGGTTAGATATGAGGAAGAATTTTCTCACTAGGAGGGTAGTAAAACACTGGAACAGGTTACCCAGAGAGGTGGTGGAATCTCCATCCTTGGAGGTTTTCAAAACCCAGGTAGACAAAGCTTTGGCTGGGATGATCTAGTTGGGACTGGTCCTGTTTTGAGAAAGGGGTTGGACTAGATGAGCTCCTGAGGTTCTTTCCAACTCTAACTTTCTATGATTCTATGAAATCCATTTCTCTTCCATGGATCCATTTCCAGTGCCCTATTCTTAGGCCTTACAGCTACAAAAGTGGAAGCTTTTGTGGTTTTCTTACAAGTATTTGAATTAATGTCCCATGCTTTATCAAGCTGTAAGTATTATATTAGTACCCAGTGGGCGAATCTATATAAGAAGCTTAATGCTCAGTAGCCCAATAACACTGCACAGTAGTATGGTGGGCAAAGACCATGCTGATACGCTACTGCATAGTAGTATTAGGCTACTGAGCAGTAAGTGTCACTAAAAAAACATGCACCAGCACTGCATTTAGTTAGTACTTCATTAAGCAAGTACTAAACTAAATGTGCAGTAACTATCGTGCATTAACAAACGTATCGGCGCGCCCAGTGATTATGACACAAATTGTCCATGTCACCATCATCTGAACCTTTTAAAATACAAGTATAGAAATAAGGTAGCATACATTTAAGGATAGGCAGTGTGAACAATACAGCATTTGAGTTATGGCAAAATGTGGTAATTGAATGCGTTGTCTTGAGTTATTGCAGAAATCTCAATCTATGAATCTGTGGGCAGGGTTCACTTGCAGATCATCTTATGTTAACTAGCAAGTCATTTTGTAGTTAATCTACAGGTTGTTTTTAGTTTCTGAATCTAATTAAAAGATTCAATAAACATTTCCCTACTATTGTTTCTCCATATCATAATTGCTGTAGTTACCACAAGGATATTACATAGCCATGAATGAGAGGGAGGTGTCCATGAACAATCTCTCTTTCATAGTGTGGATCACATCATACTAATTTTGGAAGCCACAAATTAATGGATTGTTAGATGAATAGGTGGTATAAAATTTTCCATAAAGGGATATATACGTATGCCTCAGAGTCAGGGTGAGCTGGCCAGTGTAGTTATTAGAAGGGTCATTAAGGTTATTGAGTGGAGAGTTTACCAATGTATTCATGGCCCTATCTAAACCTCTTGGCAGAAATGCATGCAGGCCTTTCACAGTATAAGGATTGAACTAGCCATACATTTCTTTTGCAATAACAACTCCATCTTTGCTACCATCTTTTAGCTCTTTTTTAATAGGAGCACCCGTGTACATATGGCACAAGGGCTGCCAAAACTTCAGCCTTGTCATCCAGAACTGTTCTGGACTGTGTTAGTCGAGATTGTAGGATACTGCTGATCCAGCTGTTGCTATCACTATGGCAAGTCTACTGGTAGTAGGAACAGCAGCAAATTTGCAGGTTTGGGGCAGGGAAGGCTTGTTTAGACAGTGCCTTAAAGATTCCTAGTTAACAAAGGAACTCCAGATGAACTGACAATGACAAGAAATAATTGGGCAAATCAGCTCACTCAGCATGCCCGTGCCATTGGATAAAAGTACGTGCTAGACG